TCTGGAACTGTTTTCGGCATATGACCACATGTGCGGCCTGTCAGAGCTTTAACATGGTGGCGATTCCCCTGTAATGCATGGATCTGAGTGCAATTTGCACAACTTGGGTGCTCAGATCAGGGGTGTTTGAGGATGTATAATTTGTGTGGTTATTATGTATTTTTATTATGTTTTTTATGTGTTTTATGATTTTCCTGTAACTGGGAGTTAATCGAATTAAGGTCCTTTAGACTCAATTATCTCTCAGCTACAGGAATTAAGGGGAGGAGTTAACGTATGAACCTGAAGGGAGACTGTCTATTGTGGGTGTGTTCTACATAATGTAATTACTGTTGTGCATTGTGTATAAAAGGAGGCCACTTGGCCCGGATTAAAGTATTTCAGTGTCGCCTGGTTACTGGGAGGAGAAAGGGCTAAGCACTGTTGCAGCTTGTTCCAGTGTAGAGGATTCAATGGGGAAATTCCTTGTAAGGACTAGCGCTTCCAGGACTGAGTGCCATCCAGTGCCTGGGAGTGAATAGAGCGAGTTCCCCATTCAGCTCCAGGATGGAGTAGTTCCAGGACCCCAGTCAAGTCACGGCGACTGGATGCAGGAGTGTTGAGGTTTGACCCCTGTTCCAGCTAGGAAGTGCTTATTTGGCGGAGGTACACAGCCGGGGTACAGGGAGCTCCGTTACATTGGTGGCAGAGGTGGGGTGGCTTCCTGTCCATGGAAAAACCTGCACTACTTCAGAAGTATGGAAGTACTGCCGGGCAGTATCCGGCTTCAACGCCAGAATCCAGCAGCGACTACAGGATGTGCTGTGCAGTATGGAGTTCCCTATCCCAGAGGAAAGAGAGACAGAGTGGCGCACCCCTCACACACACACAAACACTGTACCTCTCACACACACAGCACTGCTCACACACAACACCCCTACACACACACACACACAGCACCCCTAAACAAAAACAAATACACTGCACCCCTCACTGCAGTCCGTGTGTATTCAGCAGTAAGTGTGTGTATTCAGCAGTCTGTGTGTGCAGTGGTGGAACTACCGTGGTCGCAGGGGTCGCAGCTGCAACCGGGCCCGTCACTTCAGGGGGCCCGGCGGCCCTGCAGTCCCCTGCGACTGTGGGTCCCGCCAGCTGAGTAATGCGACCCCGGCCCGCGCAGTTTAACCGCCAGGGCCGCATTAAAGGGGCCCATCGGGTGGCCCATGCTGTTAGGGCCACCCAATGCTATGTAATTCCAGAGGGCCTGGTCAGCACTTTAAAACGCGACCGGGCCCCCTCTGATGATGTCAGAGGCTGGGATGAAGTGACTGCCCCGATCACTTCCTCCCAGCAACCAATGGGAGCCGCGCGGGAACTCTGACTCCCATCAGCCTGAGTCACTACTGGACCTCAGGGAAAGGTATGTGTGTGTCTCTTTACGTGTGTATGTATGTATTTATGTCTGTATGTCTTGCTGTATGTCTGTGTGTGTATGTCTGTCTGTGTGTGGGTGTCTGTATGTGTGTGTATGTCTGTCTGTATGTGAGTGTGTGTATGTCTATCTGTGTGTGTATGTCTGTATGTGTTTGTGTATGTCTGTGTGTCTGTATGTGAGTGTGTGTATGTCTGTGTTTCTGCATGTGTGTGTATGTCTGCTTGTCTGTATGTCTGTGTATGTCAGTCTGTATGTGTGTGTCTGTGTGTGTGTGTGTCTGTCTGTGTGTGTGTGTGTGTGTGTGTGTATTTATGTCTGTATGTCTTGCTGTATGTCTGTGTGTGTATGTCTGTCTGTGTGTGGGTGTCTGTATGTGTGTGTATGTCTGTCTGTATGTGAGTGTGTGTATGTCTATCTGTGTGTGTATGTCTGTATGTCTTTGTGTATGTCTGTGTGTCTGTATGTGAGTGTGTGTATGTCTGTGTTTCTGCATTTGTGTGTATGTCTGCTTGTCTGTATGTCTGTGTATGTCAGTCTGTATGTGTGTGTGTGTGTGTCTGTCTGTGTGTGTGTGTGTGTCTGTCTGTGTGTCTGTGTGTGTCTCTGTGTGTCTGTGTGTTTGTATTTGTATGTATGTGTGTGTTTGTATTTGTGTGTTTGTATGTGTGTGTGTCTATATGTGTATCGGATTGCATGTGTTGGGAGAGGGTAACGTATGGGAGCGGGACGATTGATGTATGGATGGAGGGTGGCATTGGAGGGGGCAATTTTCGCACCGGGTTCCCGTGGTTTCTAGTTACGCCTGTGTGTGTGTGTATTAGGCAGTCTGTGTGTGTGTGTGTGTGTATAAAGTAGCCTTTGTGTATTCAGCAGCCTCTCTGTGTGTTTTTAGCAGTGTGTGTTCGGCAGTCTGTATGTATTCGGCAGTCTGTGTGTGGGTGTATTCAGCAGCCTGTGTGCATTCAGCAGTCTGTGTGTGCGTGTATTTAGCAGTCGGTGTGTGCATGTGTTCAGCAGTTGGTGTGTGCGTGTATTTAGCAGTTGGTGTGTGCATGTATTCAGCAGTTGGTGTGTGCGGGTATTCAGCAGTCTGTGTGTGTGTATTTGGCAGTCTGTATGTATTCGGCAGTCTGTGTGTGACTGTATTCAACAGTCTGTGTGTATGTATTGCATGTGTTGGAGGTACCAATAAATATAAGCTTAATTTTATCGATAAATTAACGATAATACAGGTCTGTGTGCATAATATCCTGGTACAGTCAGTGCTCCATGTATAATGCTGCTTTCTGTATAATACAGGTCTGTGTATAATATCCTGGGACAGTCAGTGCTTCCTGTATAATGCTGCCTGTATAGTGCTGCTCTCTGTATAATACAGATCTGTGTCGTATAATATCCCAGAATAGTCAGTGCTCCCCGTATAGTGCTGCTCTCTGTATAGTACAGGTCTGTGTGTATAATATCCCGGGACAGTCAGTGCTCCCTGTATAGTGCTGCTCTCTGTATAAAACAGGTATGTGTGTATAATATTCTGGGACAGTCAGTGCTCCATGTTTAGTCTATAGTGCTGCTCTCTGTATAACACAAGTCTGTGTGTATATTATCCTGGGACAGTCAGTGCTCCCTGTATAGTGCTGCTCTCTGTATAACACAGGTCTGTGTGTATAATATCCTGGGACCATCAGTGCTTCCTGTATAGGGCTGCTCTTTGTATAATACAGATCTGTGTGTATAATATCCCGGGACAGTCAGTGCTCCCTGTATAGTGCTGCTCTCTGTATAATACCCACAGACTCCTGGAACTAGAAGAATCAGAAGCAGTGGAGTGGTGACTGAAGTCTCAATCTGAGACATTTAACATGTTGAATTGGGGACATGAAAAGGAGTTAATGGAATATGTGCATATGTTTTCCTTTTGCTCCCATTTCTCTTTTTAATTCCATTCTGAACATTCTTCTTCTATATCTTTCATTTCCTATTTTCAGCTTTTTTTAAAACTATATTCACTCCCCAATATTATTATTTTCGTGAACTAATGTATGTTTTATGGTCTAAACACAACTCTCAGACTGAAGCACATCTGCACAAAAGTCTTTCTATATTTGTACTGACAGTGTCACCACTGATACCTAACTCACATTAAAGTGATAAAATGTACCTGCGTGATATAGATGCTGTGCTGCGAATGTATCTATCGCACACCAAGGATGCATGGTACTGTTGGTGGGAACTTGGCCTTTAAAGGTCTAGTCAGTAAATAGAGAACTGCAGGGAACTGAGATGGGAAACTCAAACCTTAGGTCGAAATAGTGCAGCTGAATGGGAGAATGTTTCCAACTCTTCTACTTTGGCCTTAAGTTTAAATTTAACATCTCAATAATCTATTGAGTAGACCCTGTAATCTGCACTATAAGCAGGCAGAGATTAATTATGTGGTTTGGACATAGTGGGCGGAGCTTTGCAGCAGTGGGTGTGGTACATTTTCAAGCTAGTAATTGATAGCTGTGCTGCAAAGTGTCCCTGGAAATGGTTTTCAAATGTTGGCAACTATGGATTTCTTACCTGTAACAGTAAAAAGAACTAGAAAAGCTACAATTTCTGGGGAAATTGTGTGAAGTGTTCTTGCCTCCACCAGGAGTCTACAACTGGAGTGGGCGGAGTAACTGTTATCATTTATATAGCACATTTAATTACAACGTTGTTGCACAGTTACATTAAACCATACATTTATAAAAACATTAGCAGGTGTTCAAAAGGCCCTGTCTATGACATCACTTGCTGCTGCAGCCTGACACAGGTCAGAGTATTTTGGCGGTTGCCATCTTCAAACGGTCGTATTTTAAAAACTATAAATCCTACAGCGAAGAGCTTTATATTGTGAGAATCACAAGACCCAGACCTACATTTTGATGCATAGTATGTCTCTGAAGTATTAAAACTGAAGGCACAGTCGCAGTTTAGAAATTGCACTTCAAATATGAGCTTTGTAGAGTGAAGTTTCAATGAAAGTCAATGGACGGCGTTAGTTGCAAACAAATGATTATATTGTGAAAACTATCAGGACTATGGCTTAGCCGTTGACATGTTTAGTGGCAGCAGGAATAGCTGAACGTTTTGATATAAGATTTGTGTAGGTGGGCCTGAAAATAAGTGAGTGGTGGCAGTTTAGAAATCATGTCCTGATTTTTCAGCTTTTGCCAGCTCCCACTCTAGCTTTGCCATTCATTCCTATGGGACAAATTGCGCCACAAGAACGACGATATTCCGTGAACCATTCGGCGAAACGTTCCACAAAGTAATAGCAATCCGATCGGGAACAATCTGCACGTTTTGGTAAATTTTGGTCTATGTAGTGTAGAAACTGTGGGAGGAGTTAGGGTGGCAAATTTGGCTATAATAAGAATAATAATATATATGTGAGATAACAATAAGTGGTCTTGCTATGCAAGAACACTTAAATATATATGTGAGATAACATTAAGTGGTCTTGCTATGCAAGAACACTTAAAAATCTTAGCAAAATCTTGGACAGTTGAAGAATCAGTAAAACTCTCCAGAATATCTCCAAGCAATCACTTTGAAGCAGCACTTAGAAGCAGCAACCAAGCACAAGGGATCCTCATGGTAATATAAGCTAGAATGGGGACCAGAGAACCTTTATATCATAACAAGTATGTTCACTGTTAAAGGGACACTATAGTCACCCAGACCAGTTCACCTCAGTGAAGTGGTCTGGGTGCCAGGTCCCTCAGGTTTTAACCCTTCACATGTAAACATAACAGTTTCAGAGAAACTGTTATGTTTACATTTGTGGTTTATCCGGACAGCCACTAGAAGGGCATCTGCGACGCTGGAGGCAAATTTCTCCTCCATCGCACAGAGCGTCCATAGGAAAGCATTGAAAACTGCTTTCCTATGGACACTTTGAATGCGTATTCGGCTCCATTGACGTCAGACGGGGGAGCTGACGTCGGACTGGGAGGAGAGGTCACCAGCGCTGAGGGAGCACGGTGCTGGATTAAGGTAAGTGGCTGAAGGGGTTTTAACCCCTTCTGTGCCACGGGAGGGGGACCCTGAGGGTGGGGGCATCCTCAGGGCACAATAGTGTCAGGAAAACCACTTTGTTTTCCTGACACTATAGTGATCCTTTAAATGTATACACTTATGGGACCTGCAAGTCTATTTTTTATTTGAGAACCGAGACCAACACGTATCCGCAATGAAGCTTTCATATTTTGTACTTTAATGTTTTACTGAAGTTGTAGGAGGCCATAGAGTCTCACTGATATATTTTTCTTCTAAAAAGGAATATTCAATGAAAAGATAGTTACAAAAACAAAATAGTGTGTAGAGGTGTTTGCACACCTGCCTTGGTCTTGCTGCAGCAGCTGCTCCTCCTCTTCTGGGATCATCATTACAACATTACAACATTAGCAGCAACGAGCAACACTGAACATGAAACCGTTCATTGACTGAAAGTCTTTAATGAGGAAATTCTTGTAATGGGTATCTGACTGACAGGCACTTAAAGGCATTCTACCTGACAAATGTAAACATTGTTGTATTGTCACAAATGAATATGCAAAATGAAAGGTTAATTATTCACTTCCTTAATTATTACAATTTTCTTTGTAAACGCAGGAAGCAACATGCAGGGTGACAGCTGTGTGCTGTTACATGTGAGTGCTTTGTGAGTTACTAATCTTGTGTCTGCACACATAATACTACTGCTGTTTACTTGTACAGTACTTGTGAACAAACTGTTAGATGATGTATAAATTAATTATGTCATCAGAATTCCTTTACAATGCAAAGAGTCAAATAACTCACATTAGTCATACACTTAATGGTCCTTCACATATCCAGTGTCGAATAAATTTACACATCCATAAATCTTCATTTTCATCTAAAAATTACAGAATCCCACAGTAAGGAGAAAACCTTTTTTCTAATGTTGAAACTTACTTAGGTTTCCTGGGCATCCACCGTCCGTGGTAAAAATTATGGTTGCGAAATCATAGCTGCCACGATACCGGTGCTGCTGATGAGAGTAGGCCATGGCAACCTTGACACAATCTCATTTACGCAAACAGAAACCGACTCATAAATCCAACCCTTCCAATGATACCTTTATGGCATTGCAAAATCTCATCAAAATCTCAAAACTTTGTTTATAGATGTGATGGGTGGCCTGATTTGTTTGGTGCAAGCAATAAGCTTGTGGCGCCATTTTTGTGATTATTTTCCATGTATCTAGATATCGTTGTATTGTGTACTTATATTATACATAAAGCAATGTGTGTGTCTGTATATACAGCTGTGGGTCAACAAAGGGGCGACAGCAGCTTTATAAACTATAAAGTATAGTTAGGTGTGAAATGTATTCTGTGGGCTAATCAAGTTAAATGAGTGACCACCTGCTGTGGAAGCCAGCAAGAATATCTTCTACAGCAAAGGGCTACGTTGATATAACCAGAGATTGCTCTGAAGGGACAGTGGGTCCAATGAAGATAACCTTTTGTTGTCATGGTTTATTGGTACAGGGGGAGGTGGTAACTAGTGTAGGGAATCACTTGTTGCTTTGTAGTTCTTTTCCTGTGACCTGTTCTATATTGCCATTGGTGAATGTTTTGTGTAATGTATATTTTACTGTATGCTGTGATCTTTGTGAGCTGAATCTGGATACAATAAACAGAGTGAGAGTAAGTCTGAGTTCTAAGGAGTTGCCAAGAAATAAGCTGGTGTTGTCTCTTCCTTAAGGTCTCACACAAAATGGCTAATTATTGTCCTCTATAGAGTAATTACTAATAAGAGTATTGCCAGAAGACTGGATGGATAGAATATCATATAGTAATGAAATATCAGCTCAGTATATCCTGTATATACTACCAAAGAGGAGTCCTAGCATTTAGTGGAGCAGTTTAGTGCTGCAAGTTATGTAAAAAGAATACCCACGGACGATATATTAAGGCCGTATCGTCACAATTGATGATGCTTCTAAATCACAATAGTGGTCCTTGCAGTTCCATGAAAGATCTAAAAAACTGGATTGCCCCTAGGCTTGTAAACTGTGGGCAGTTATCTGACTCACTAGTTTCTCACAACTGTACTGTCACCATCTGTGGGGGCAGGTGAGGTGAGATTTACTTACCTGAACCTGTCCCTTGTAGGTGCTGCCATCTTGATCCCATGATTCATCTTCAGCTCCTAACGCTTCCAGGAGCTGACATCACTGCGAGAGTACAGCATTGAGGTCTATGGAGGCCAACACAGGCAAACTTAGTATTTCGTAAAGATTCTATCATTATGAGGACAGACAGGGAGCATCAATATATATATACGGTGGCATGATGGGAGGGGTAAATATTTGCATAGATGTTATACTTAGTCAGTGTGACGAAGTGCCCTTCGCCACTTGGTCCTGGAGAGGTCTACTTGCCAGCCTCCTCCCCTGTGACTATGACTCTTTCATGTATCTGGCTTTAAAGCCCCTAGTATACCTTCAGACAGACTATTTATGTAGGCTGCTTTATTTATCTTATGTTTTAGTCACCCTGTACCCATTATAGGTGCAGGGTGTGTGTAATGTAATTGTTTATAGTGTGTGTGTGTGTACTGTGTAATGTATTGCCTGCTCTCTTGTATTGCTGAGGTTTGCTACCAACTAGGTGGGTTTGGCTATGGAGCTGGTCTAGTGCCCTCTGTTGGTAGCAACAGCAATATGCACTACCTGAATTGCAAGACTGGTTCATTTGCATATTCGGGTAGATTTGCATATTGCTAATTCTGCAGGCAGGTGAGATATTTACTGTTAAATATTGTCTCCCCCCACCCCTTTAAAAATGTGCCATTGTGTTGTGATAAGTCACTGTGTGTTGCTTGATTTGGTTTGACTGTTTGTGATTTTATTGAGTTTTCACAACAATGTTATTGTGGTGACCCTATTGGCTGGTCCCAAGGGAATAAAGGTTTTGACAGTTCTTCTTGATCCCTCTAAACGTAGCCTTGTCTCGTTATTGGAGGGAGCTGTTATAATCACACTGGGGATTGCTATGCTCTGCATGCTCCCCTGAGCTTGAGTCACTTAGCTCTTTTAAGAGCTTGCTCCTGACACGCTCTCCTTGGAGGAGGGGTCTTCACCACACAGTTCTGGATGCTGGAGGTTCATACAGGGTGGAAGGAAGAGTTCTTTCCCACACAGTCCTGGAGGACAGAAGCTGATCCAGGGTGGAAGGAAGCCGGCGAGGCTCCAGTCAAGATACGGCGGTTGCGGAGTCTGCGGTGGTTGTGGTGTCTGCTGCAGCGCTTGGAGTCCTCAGGAAGCGCTAGGAGCATCCATCAACGGAGGGTACTCGGTCGGAGTACAGGGAGCTCCGTTACAGTCAGTCTATCCCGTATTCAATGTGTTATCCTGGAATTAATCCTGTTACCTTAATCTATTTAAATGTCATATTCCTTAAAAAATAAAAGGGGAGATGGGGTCTGATCTCCAAGCTGGACAGATGTGCTCTAATGAAGCTCCTGAAAACTTTTTAGTGGTCATTCATTATTTAACAATAAATCAGCTTGAATTTTAGTGTACAGCTGAGACCTGTTACTGCACAAAGTGCTCATGCCTTATCTGAGTTCTTGAACCCAAGATTTTGACCCCACGGTGGAGAGACTAGAGCAACTGCAAATGCGGCCTAGTCCGAGTGGCAGGTGGGGGAGGCAGCCGCACCCTTACGTGATGCAATACAATACAATATTTTTTGCTTGCAGGCACAGTTCTCCCCCCCTATATGTGCCATATCCTGGTTCTCTCTAGGGCAGCAATTTTTATAACTTCTTTGGGATGCTACTGCTTTTTATAGCATAGTGACAGGCCAGCAAGATGGCTGCAAACTCCCAGCTGGAAAGCTCACAGATAGGGGGGTTACTTCCTCACTAGGTGACTGCAGTACACTGCACCGTCAAAGGCATGTGCTCAAGATTCTGGACTACATTGGTGCAAAGACTGATGAGTCAGCCAAGTTTCCTACCTCATATGGTACATCTCAGACGAGAGATCAGGGCTCCAAAGCAAAGACTGTCCCTCACTTTATCCTACTTACCTGGCCCACAAGCTTCTGGGACTCTCTCTGCCAGTGCAGTTCTTGAGGCCCGTGGTGAAATGTCACCAACTCTATGTAGGTATTTTCTGGATTTATTGACTATCTATGCTGTCTTGAAGATGCTTCATCTGATAGCTACAGTGGGTACGAACAGGGGGTTTGTCACCTTTAGTGTTATGTTTAAATTAATTTGATCAGAATTCTCATGTTTTCTTTTTTCTTTGAGTATTTTTTTTTTCTTAACAATCGTTATTTAGTAGTTGTTTTCAAGTTTAAGAAGTAGAAAACGGGGAAAGGAAGAATGTCAATCGGGTGTTAAGGTCATACAGTGGCAGTAGCAGACAATCACATTCACTGGGTATGGTATACAATTACATGTTGATAACATTCGGTAAGCTGATATTGAGGAGCAAGAGTAGTACTTGTTACATTCTTAGCTATTTCACATTTGCGTAAGTATTTTGTGCCTCTCCAAGTACATTTCACTTATTCTTTTGTGACTCTGTGGCTCCAGCAGGTAAGAGTGATCCTTGTGGGTGCGAGGCCCTGCCTGGGTCGAGCAGTCAGTAGGCTGCGTTTGCGCGTTTCAGGCCCCGTCGGTGTGTTTATTTGAGTATCTTGTACAGTTGACTTATAAGTTGTTCCAGTGGCCTAGTACTAGTCTCTACTAGCTATTCTCATGCTATTCACTCTTTAACCAAAATGACCTTTATGTTTTGCTTCTACAATGTGACTTTTGGTAAATTTTCATCATGCTGTTATAATGATTGTACTGTTGTATATCCTGGAACACGTCATAAATATATATATATATATATATATATATATATATATATATATATATTAAATGAATAAAATAAATGCGCCAAGTGTTCAACTTCAATCCTGACAGGCTTCACTCACTAGAAATTGTTATCTAGTTTGTAATTAAATCTGGCTACATTACATTTGAAAAATGAAGAGGTACTTGGCACAGTTTGAACTGTAATAGCCAGAGAGGCTTTATATGACTGCAGTTTGACATCTGCCCGTAGTTTGCATGTGTGCACAGGTTGCATCTATAATCATTATCACCAACTGCTGTCATTCACAGTCACCAATTTGTGAAAGCAGAGACATTTTTACAACCCTTCACAGTGTGTTATTTAAAGTGCATGACTGTAGGCCACACTATATAGACAATGAAACCTCACATATAAATTGAGCTAGCCAAGTTGACAGTAAATGTGTGGATACAATTAAAATACAATTCTTTCTCTATACACCTGGGATGTACTTTGCATAAAGCAATGTTGAATCCCACTAGACAGTGCATAATGAAAACTTCAGTTAACGGTCTGTTATACAATTTGCAATTGTTAGTGAATATTTTAACACAATGTTAGATTACATTGTATAACATACCTAATTTATTTATTGTCTACACATTTGTGGATAGGGCCCACATTACTTTCTGAATTTAGAAAATACACCAGTTAAACAAAAAAAAATCTCATATTTATTGGACAGTCTTGTGATATCTTTTCCCAGAAATGTTAGCTTCAACCAGCAAGTTCATACAAATAAATTAGGTCAATGTTAAACGTTAAGTACTTCTGTATGCCAGATACATTGCATGATGCTATTGACATCATGTAAGGAATCAGTACTCCAACACGCAGAACTTGGATCAGGGTCTATAGAAAGGGTAAAGTGTATTACTGGTGCTTAGAATGGCGGGGCTGACCACAAGCTATAGAGAGAACAATTGTAATCCGTAACAAGCAAAGTCAGGAAAACAGAGGTACGGAAAATCAAATAAACTTGCCATGGTCAGAAATACACGATGTCACTAAAAAAGCCTAGGTCAATGCCAGAATATAATAAAAAAAACTAGAAAACAATTTGCTGATTGCGAACCAATATGTAAACAATGACTGGGCAATGGCTACGGGGCTGAAACTTTATTTAAATACATAGGAACACTGATAGGGTCTATATACCTCTTATCCACACAATGAGATCACTTTCATGCATGTAAATAAAGTCACAATTTAAGGGGCACTCCAAGCCCCAAAACCACTAAAGCTCATTATAATGGTTACAGTGCTATAAATCTATGGGTGCCATTGAATTGTTTTCTGTCAAATAATTTTGCAGCAGTTTTACAACCGGGGCTGTCCCTGATATCCATAGACTGATCCACCTATCAAATCACAATTGTAATGTGTAAACTACATTTTTGCAGGGTAAAGTGAAATTCTGTCCACGCTGGGAGATTGAGAGTGCTGGGCATGGGTTGGGAGTGTGTAATCGAAGAACCAGGTAATTGTGCTAACCTAGCCAATCTAACAGCCTCCTGTACCGTCAGCGCTGCTGTTTTGATGTTTGCTCTTCTTGACATATAACCCTACATATGGAATTCATTAGTATAAAACAGAAAATAAAATTAAAAAATCCACATTTGCTCTCTTTGTCATTTATGTTAGCTATTCGCTAGTTAATATAGTATGTTCAATGTTGGTAGCTTGCTGGTTAGTTTTATATAGATTCAGTTTCACACTTGATGTACAACATGAACATATGCTGTACTAATGAGCAGAGTACTACTATACTATTGTTAAATAATTGTGTGGTAATAACCTTATGGTGATGGGAGGTATGTACCGTCTCACATTAAAACCCAATAACAGGTGAATGCTAAATGACCTGCATTCTCCCACCTTCCCTCTCCTAGCTCTGTACACAGGTGTTCTATGATAGAACACAGGCAGTAACTTGTCAAATCGGGCCTTGCTGCCTGACCACATTTTTGTTAATGAACAATGTGCATATACAGCATATTTTACAGCTCTTTCAAACTATTCTGATAACCTTACGTTCTGATTTCAAGACCCTTAAATGCAGACTCTTTGCTTATATGTAGTAAAAAAACAAACAAAAAAACCCCCCCAAAACTGTGGTATGTCATCCTCATGGAGGATCCCTAAAATATTGTATTATCAATGAGCCAGAACTAAGATAATGTATTGAGCCTTGTGTATCTTATGTAACTTTATGTATCATGGGGAATGTAATGCTAATACTCCCTTAAACTCCCCAAGAGCAATTTATAGTGGTTTGCTAACATGGATACTCTTCCCCACAATTGACATTGGTTACTTAGGGCAGAGTTTTTATTATCATTGGTATATATACAGCGCCAACCTGTTCCGCAGGACTTTACATTTAACAATAAATGAGACAATGACAAAATGTTACAGGAACAATATGTTGATTAGGACCCTGCTCAGATGAGCTCCTTTGCTTCCCCACTCATCCCACTTTCGGATTTACAACCTACTTTTCACACCTAACTTTTATTCTACCAGCAGTGACCCATGACAGTCCTGCTGTCTATTTCACCTATTAAATGGAGGCTCGTGGCTCCCTCTGTCTACCATTCACCTGGAGATTCAACAGCTTTTCTCACAAGGTTACACTATCATAAACTGGTAATGTGTGTGCGCCTCTGTGACCCGTATAAATAATATATATATTGTTTTCTTTATAATTTAATGTTTTTTTTTTTTTTGTTAAAATATTTCCTGATAAGATATTTTGGTTAGCTTCTTGTCACTTTCTCTTCCTTACACACAAACTACACATACACTTTCTGGTAAACTTTTGATACATTCAGAAAATGGCCATTTTATAAAAAATACAAATAATTGTGAATAGAGCCTGTGGTGAGTGCAGCTGGCTGTATGTGCTTAGCTGGCACTCTCCACCACTGACTACCATGAGACTGTGACAGGAGGACACGCCCCCTCACGCTTCCCGCGCTGCTCACCCGCACTACCAGCCGTGTCCGCTGGGGTCGCTGTCCGCACTCTATAAATACAGCGCGGCACTCAATGGCTTCATAGCAGTAAGCAGCATGTTGTGTGCCGGTGCTCGTGTTCTCCTCCGGGGCTGCCGGACCGGTCCCGGCAGTACATTCACCGCTCTCCGAGCCTGCAGTAACAAGCCGCAGTCTAATCCCAGGGTGTACATGGACCTGGAAGCCGATAACCAGCCCCTGGGCCGGGTCACGTTCGAGGTGAGCAGGTGGCACCCTCTCTATGTCAGGTAGGGGGTTTGGGGCCCCTGGATAGGCAAGGGACACCCCAGAATGGGGGGACTGAGACTGGGGCCCCTGGATAGACAAGGGACAGTCCCCTGAATTAGGGGGGACTGAGACTGGGGCCCCTGGATAGGCAAGGGACACCCCCAGAATGGGGGTGGGGGGGAGACTGAGACTGGGGCCCCTGCATAGACAAGGGACAGTTCCCTGAATGGGGGGACTGAGACTGGGGCCCCTGCATAGACAAGGGACAGTTCCCTGAATGGGGGGACTGAGACTGGGGCCCCTGCATAGACAAGGGACAGTCCCCTTGAACGATGGGGACTGAGACTGGGGCCCCTGGATAGGCAAGGGACACCCCCAGAATGGGGACTGGGGCCCCTGGATAGGCAAGGGACACCCCCAGAATGGGGACTGGGGCCCCTGGATAGGCAAGGGACACCCCCAGAATGGGGACTGGGGCCCCTGGATAGGCAAGGGACACCCCCAGAATGGGGACTGGGGCCCCTGGATAGGCAAGGGACACCCCCAGAATGGGGACTGGGGCTCCTGGATAGGCAAGGGACACCCCCAGAATGGGGGGGACTGAGACTGGGGCCCCTGCATAGACAAGGGACAGTCCCCTGAATGGGGGGACTGAGACTGGGGCCCCTGGATAGGCAAGGGACACCCCCAGAATGGGGACTGGGGCCCCTGGATAGGCAAGGGACACCCCCAGAATGGGGGGGACTGAGACTGGGGACCCTGGATAGACAAGGGACACCCCCCTTGAATGATGGGGACTGAGACTGGGGCCCCTGGATAGACAAGGGACAGTCCCCTTGAACGATGGGGACTGAGACTGGGGCCCCTGGATAGGCAAGGGACACCCCCAGAATGGGGACTGGGGCCCCTGGATAGGCAAGGGACACCCCCAGAATGGGGGGGACTGAGACTGGGGCCCCTGCATAGACAAGGGACACCCCCAGAATGGGGGGGACTGAGACTGGGGCCCCTGGATATGCAAGGGACACCCCCAGAATGGGGGGACTGAGACTGGCCCTGGATAGACAAGGGAGACCCACAGAATGGGGACTGGGGCCCCTGGATAGGCAAGGGACACCCCCAGAATGGGGGGGACTGAGACTGGGGCCCCTGGATAGGCAAGGGACACCCCCAGGATGGGGGCTGAGACGGTGGCCCCTGGATAGGCAAGGGACACCTCCAGAATGGTCCAGAATAGTATGGTCACCTAACTCCATGGTGCCTCTTCATCTGCTGACTTAAGGGATGCCCTCTCTCTCCTTTCACCTTGTGCCTGGTAGAGGGGACCTGACATGGGCTGTGACAAAAAGGGATGGCCCGGTGTCCTATAAATTAGAGGACGGCGAAATAAAATGCTTGGCTACATGTGCGCCCAATGTAATGTACGCTTTTATGCATTTTGCTTTATTCATTAACATAAACCCATTCATTGCCTGCATAGTGATAGAGATATGATCTGAATAAAACAGTTAGAATCTTTTAATTTTGTTAAAGGTGGCTTGTGGTTCTTCCAGTTTTAACAAATCCTGTTAATGTAAATATTCTGTAAAGCTGCACATTGAATTTTTTTTCTTCATAAATATTTTATTGCAATATGAGGCCAGTCAAAATATATAATCCCTTCCTTCTACTTCTATATGCTAATAAGGCGTTTGCTGCAATTACATGTTGACAGACCGGTAAACCACAAACACCCACTTAATATACACCCACTTGATAGACAAACCTAACTGGGGGGAGGAGAGGACTATGCCAACTTGTAAAAGTTGGTGACTTTGTCCTATAAAGCAGCATTTGTTACAGTAGCTTGTCAGAGTAATTTTGGAAAATGTTTACAAAACTTTCTGATTCGAAATCATATCTAATGCTTCCTTAAAGGACAGTCATTTTCCTAACCTCTTGCTGTGAGGAAATTTCAAAAAACACTATTATAACTTATATATTTTGCTACCTTGCTGTTGGTCATAGATCGGCCAGGGTAAAACTGTTGCCCTTGTTCAGTGTCAAGTTCCTAGTGCTCTTATCACATGTAACACTTGTCCCAGTCAAGGTGACCTTGTGCCCAAATAAAAAGTTGATAGCTAGCAGGCTTCCTGTGAAGAGGCCATGTCACTGTGTGTAGTTCTTTTTAAGGATAAGGAGTTTTGAAATGCCACACTTTCGATTTGGAACAAAATGTAAGATAGTTAACAAGTGTGAATTTAAAGTAACTAAAAAGCAAACCTAATTGACTTGACAATTTTTTTTTCTTTTGGTATTTAAACTTAAACACCTGCTAATTCTAACCCTTGTCTAGTGAATAAAACTCTAAACTCCATTTGGTTTTTAGACTTGAATCTTATAATTAATCAGATTTAAAAATAAAAATAAAAAAATTATCTAATGTCTAGTCTGCTTTTAAAATAGTATATATACCTGTAGAGATTAAATCTGGTATATAGCGCAATTTATAAAAAAAAAGTCCAAATCTAGAACAAGAGTCTTTCAGTTATCTCTACAATATCTAATCAACAATGGCAATCAAACCGATAATGGTGCACATCAATTCTGACCACAACTCCCACAAATCTGGGGCCAAGTGTAAATAATATGCTGAGCACTATATTGTAGAATACATGATCCCAAACCACCTGATTCAGTATGCATAATCCAAATGATGACTCCTATTATTTATGGGTTGCACAGGTGATGTAATCGATTATAAGACAGGAGGAGTTTTAAAGGGACTCTATAGCCACCAAAACAAACTGATAATGAAGTTGTTTTAGTGTATATAGATTATACTTCTGAAGTTTCACTCGGCAAATTATCTGCCATTTAGGAGTTAAATCATTGTTTTTATTTATGCAGCCATAGCCATACCTCCCTTGGCTGTGACTGACACAGCCTGCATGAAAACAAAATGGTTTAATTTTTCAATCAGATGTAACTTACTTTAAAAGTGTTTATTTCCTGTTCTGTAAATTGAACTTGAATTGCATACAGCAGGTTCTAGCAAGCTATTAAAGGGAAACTATGGTCACCAGAACTACAGCTTAATGTAGTTCTGGTGAGTGTAATCATTGCATGCAGGCATTTTCATGCAAACATTGTCTTTTTTAGAGAAAAGGCAGTGTTTACATTGGCCCCTCCTTAGATGGCCACTGGAGGTGCTTACTAGGGCAGCACTGACATTCAGAGTCTCCACGTTTTGAATGGAGATGCTAACATTTTCTCATAGATGCATTATGAGGAGCTGCTAATTGGCCAACAGTTTGACCCAGCACTCGTCCCGCCTCCTTGCTGATTTGTCAATCCAATTAAAGCATTGGATTGGCTAAAAAAATTAAATTGTAGTAATGTCACAAAGGAGGCTGATCTGTGGCAAGGCCAGTGCTGGAAATAAGGTAAGTTTTAACCCATTCTAAAGGGGATATGGGGGGGGGGGGGAGAGAGAGAAGGGGTGCAATCCACCTAAATGGTGGTTTTTAACACTATTGGGTCAGGAATGCATGTTTTGTGTTCCTTACCCTATAGCAGAGCAGGAGATATGAAAATCTAAATTACAAAGCATTTGAAATAAAGTAAACCATAGATGACTCTTTACAGTAAGTGTTTTGGAAGGCTGTGTAAGTCACATGCTTGACGGTGTGACTAGGACTGCATAAAGAAAGGTGTGTATATAACTCCTAAATGGCAGATAATTGAGCAGTGAGATTGCAGGGGCGTGATCTATACACTAAAACCCCTTAAAGGGACACTATAGTCACCTGAACAACTTTAGCTTAATGAAACAGTTTTGGTGTATAGAACATGCCCCTGCAGCCTCACTGCTCAATCCTCTGTCATTTAGGAGTTAAATTGCTTTGTTTATGAACCCTAGTCACACCTCCCTGCATGTGACTTGCACAGCCTTCCATAAACACTTCCTGTAAAGAGAGCCCTATTTAGGCTTTCCTTATTGCAAGTTCTGTTTTAATTAAGATTTTATCACGTACTATGTTAATAGCTTGCTAGACCCTGCAAGAGCCTCCTGTATGTGATTAAAGTTCAATTTAGAGATTGAGATACAATTGTCTAAGGTAAATGACCTCTGTTTGAAAGTGAAACCAGTTTTTTTTCATGCAGGCTCTGTCAATCATAGCCAGGGGAGGTGTGGCTAGGGCTGCATAAACAGAAACAAAGTGATTTAACTCCTAAATGACAGTGAATTGAGCAGTGAAATTGCAGGGGAATGATCTATACACTAAAACTGCTTTATTTAGCTAAAGTAATTTAGGTGACTATAGTGTTCCTTTAAGCTAAAGTTGTTTTGGTGACTATAGTGTCCATTTAAGCTGAAAAAGAAACTTGGGGAAAGGTGCCCACTGCCATTAGAGGGCTTTAACTCTGTATGGAACGCTGCACATACAAACTCAAAGCACCAGGACCACTTTAAATCAGAAAATATAAAAATGTAGGTCTTGTAAGGAATGAAGACTAGCTAATGTCTGAATTATAAAACCGCACAGCTCAAAAGGAACACAAATATCATGCCTATGTGATACTCCTGTCACTGTACTGCATTTCTAATTAGTGGTGCTGCCGTAAAGATCAAAATGTATACAAAATACAGAACTGCACTCACACGTAAAATAGCTTAAAATTTTGCAAGGCTACTTAAATCGATCTATCTTTGCAAATTCATATGGGGAATTCAGTTACACCAATTCTTACAGTTTGAACTGCTTCTAGAGACTCCTCTTAATTTATGCTTTCCTAGAAGCTGTTTAGGCAGTAAATTTTGCTTTTGGCCTGTTCTCCCATGTTAAAATTAGTGTAGTACCCACTGATATTGGGGTTACTGTGATGTTGTTGTGGGCTTAACACAATATGGCCATGTGGAGGAACTGAATCCCTGTATTTGTTTGCTAATATAAGGTATTTTAAGTAGTACTGTAAAACTTTAAAGCTGTTTTGTTGTGGTGTTTGTTATTTTGCTTTTGTTTGCGGCTTCTTAATCTTTATTTTGTCATAAGAGCATGACCCACATCCAAATAGACGCAATCTATCCTGTTTTTGTTTAGGTGTAACATTAGTTTCTGCCAGTAAGCATCCTGAGTCATTCATGTAATTTAGACTTCCTTGGTGACATGCACAATTGTATTCTGTTTACATTTCTGAAAATGGCTCAACAATCAAATCAAACACCTTTTAGTAAAGGTGTCTGGACTGAACTAAAGATATTTCAAATAAATATCAATTGTGGCATGCAGTCTCAAATGCTGTAAATGCTGTTCAACGTCTTCATCCCATCTCTATTCCGACAGATGGAATGTGGGGGTGAGAGGGGTGTCGTAAAATAAATATAAGTGGCCTGCTACTGCTCACATGCTCAAGCAATTTCTTTGCCATTTTATATATTTTTGCTCAAAGTATTTTGGTGTTTACCTGCTATACTTGCGCATACCTATCAACATCAAAGTATCCCTTTCACGTCTGCCCCACTATCTGACCTGACACCTCTCCATCCCCTTTGTAAGTAGTCAAAACATTTAGTATGTTTTCCTTAAAAGTTACTTGTACACTACCCACATCCCTCTGCACAATTTCGATAACTGGGGATTTTTAACATCACTCAAATGGCCATACAAGCGTAAGCTCGCCTCACATCAAGACAAAACCTTTAAGTCCTACACTAACAATTCACTTTGTTTCTTTAAGCGTAAAGGGACACTATAGTCAGCATAACTACAGTTTACTGCAATTGTTCTGGTGAATATAATCATTCTCTTCAGGCTTTTTGCAGTAAACACTCTTTTCAGAGAAAATGCAGTGTTTATATTACAGCCTAGGGACACCTCCACTGGCCACTCCTCAGATGGCTGCTAGAGGGGTTTCCTGGGGCAGTGCTGCAGTGTGCAGCGCTGACATTCATTATCTCCACCTTCTGCTTGGAGACACTGGACTTTCCTCATAGTTGCATTGATTCAGTGCATCTTAGTCAGGGCTGTGTTTGGCTTGTGCTGGCTGTTTCATTGACAGTCCAGCCAATCCTGTGGGAAACATTGTGATTGGCTCAGGTCACTACTCCTGATGTCAGCCAAGCAGGCAGATCAGGGACAGAGCCAGCAGCAACAGACTGGAATAAAAGTTGACTATATTTAGGTAGGGGTCAGGAATAAACGTTTGCGTTCCTGACCCTATAGTGTTCCTTTAAAGGCAAAATTACAAATAGAGGGATATTTTTTTGAAACTACTATATAATTATTAATCCTTAATAGGGATCACATGAGATGGGCATCAGCACTATAACATGCAAAATTAATTACGCCCTGCACTCACTCTCACATCAGCTCCAATAGATGCAATAAACCCTGTAGTCATTTTTAATTTTGACAAACAGAAGTCAAATAGTTTTAAAATGGCTTGTCTAGAGTTCATCAAACAGTATAAATATTTGATGGCAAACATAAGATTGCACATCCATTGATGTGAGCGGTGTATTTAATCCAGTAAGGGTGGTTGTTTTTTTGGAGGGGGAGGATGTCTATGCCACATCCAAATTAATGCAAAATGCCACGCACTATATGAACCATATTTCTCGGTCTTCCAGTATCAAAATGTATTACTAAAATAGTCTGTAATGGGCTTTCATCTAATTAGAATAGATCCATGTAGCTTTTAATGCTGGATTTATGTGCAAGGGTAATGTCAATGTGCAAGTGAACCTTGCAGGAACAAAAGGCAAATATTAACTCAAGGTTTGTTTTTGTAAACTGATGTAAGTACTGCAGTTCTGGAGCTACCAAAAGCTTTTGTAACTCAACAGTTAAACATACACTTTATTCAAAGCTTGGGATGGCTGAGAATCATAGATATGTAATATTTTTGGTAATCTTTAATCTTTGATATAAAATATTGCTGTGAAATTAGGCATTTTGCAAACTGGATAGCCCTGTCATATTGTATCTTCTGTATTTTGTATCTCCACCCCGTATGACTAGATTAATGCTCAAAGGGTTGTTATTTTCTTTTTCTATTCTATATTGCCATATTGAACGCTATTGAATAGTTCCCCTCTTTATTAGGAAGAATAAGAGAAAATGGATGCGGCCATGACCATGCCACTTTAATGGGGTTTTTGGAAGTAGATGTAATATAGAATAATTAAAAAATTATGATCAGGGATCCTTAATATTGGAGCGCAGGGAAGTATCTTGGCTAGAGGTAGGGCCACAGAACTGAGCAGGGAGATTTCAGGGGTGTCTACATATCAAAACTGTCTCATGAAGCTAAAAAATTGTTGCTGAAGTGTCCCTTTAACTGCTTAAAGACCAAACTTCTGGAATAAAAGGGACTCGTGACATGTCACACGTCATGTGTCCTTAAGGGGTTAAATAAATGCACAGAATTTTAAAAAGTAAGCTTTTTTGCTTTTCTGTAGAAAACTAAACCATCTTACAAAAAGCCACTTCTTGGTACTGACTCAATACTGTTTCTTAGAAAAGCCTAGAGGACAGTTATTAAAAAGAGGATCTGTGTTGCATAAATGAATATTGTGACTGCCATTTCTAATCTTGGCTACATAGTAAGTGTGCATTATCTGTATCAAAATTATGCCAGTGTATATAGAATAGAATCTCAAGAGGGTACACAGCATGTAAAATATCTAAAACAAGCACCTCACAACTTCAAGCTGCTCAAAGCTGACCATGGCACTTGAGCTTAAACGAGAAACATTTCTCATAACTCTTAATCACATCTAGATTACTGTTCTTCCCCCAATAGTAGCCTTTAAGCTGTAATCCTACTGTGGAAGCCTAATATGGCAAGTGTTATAATAAGAATCTCAAACTGTATTGGTGTAGACAAAAAAGCAAAAATGTCATATTTTTTTAATTAAACAGAAAAATGCCCTAATCACTTTATTTTTTTCCTTAGTTAAAAGCTGATGTGGTGCCAAAAACAGCAGGTAAGATAACTGAAATATTCCATCAACATTTAATGTAAGCTTCCTGCCTTAAGGGACACTCTATTGTAAGTGACCCTCATTTTACAACCTAGAAAATGGTGATTTAAAAAATAATTTTGTAGCTTAGTTTAATATCTTTAATATTTGTCTATTTTTAGGAAATAATTATCCATATGCAAAATCTACTGCCATACTCCCCCATGTTAATTTTTTGTGGGTTTTAACAATCCCCCCACACTCCCACCCCCCACTTACTTTGGGGGGAAGTGGAGGAGGAGACAGGAAATTGTAGAGCCACTATAGCTTCCTCCTCTTTAACGGCCCTCCCACATGGTTAATAACCCTTTTGTCCCTTACCTGGGTACAGCGCCAATGTCACTTGGCACTGGGTCAGCTCCATCCACGCAATGGCTGCGCTCGCATTAGGATTTCCCCATATGAAGGCATTATTCAATGCTTTCCTATGGGGATTCCAGTGACTCGGGAAGTCCTCATGAAGACATCCAGCGTCATTTAGGCGATCAAATGTCCCCTATCCACCCAGCAGTCCATCTAGTGGCTGTCTGGTAGGCAGCCACTAGAGGAGTTAAGCCAAGCAGGTAATTATTGCAGTTACCCCTCCCCCCTTCACATTGCATAAATCACTTCTACGTCTGTCTTTTGCTTTGCTACAGGCTTGTTACATACTTATAATGGTTATCACTAGCAAAATACTGATAATGTGTATAGATCATAAATTACCCATAAAATTGATTTTCTAACTTTGTAGGGTTTTTTTTTTTGTCCCCAGAGAATTTCAGAGCTTTATGTACTGGGGAAAAAGGATTTGGTTACAAAGGATCCACATTCCACAGAATAATCCCAAACTTCATGTGCCAGGTGTGTAATAAAGTCAATCCAATTGACCAAGTATTTCATCGCTAGTTTTCAGTATCTGCTGTAATAAACTGAAAGTGTAGCAAGTCCCATCTGATGGGACTTCAACTGTTTTTTATAAATATATTGAACTTAAGAACTTAACCTGTGACGTAACAGTGGGTACTGCTAAATGCCAGGGGTTTGATACACGGATTGCCATTATGCAGTAAGAATCTTCCTCTCAACCCCCGACATGCAATTGCAAAATGTAGTTTTATTTTGTGGGTGTTTTTATTCATTTTTTTTTTTTGTGAACTTTATGGAGCTTTTTTGTAAACCTACTGCCTCCAGTGCCCACTCATGAACACAAGTAACCAGATGCCAAATCTGTCATAACCATCTTTTTTGAGTATAGAGAAGGAAGATGAGAGCCAACTGTAGGCTTGTCCATCAGAGAGAAGTTAATACTGATAAAGGATCTAACAAATATTTCTTGTGGATGAATAGTGGTGGTTCAATTGATGTTATGTAATTCAGGTGGTGGTGTTTCAGTAGATTTGGCTGTTTTTTATGTGTATGTGTATCCCTTATGCTGTGGGGTATTATCAAATTTTGACTAGATTGAACTTTTTGGTGTATATCTGAACAGTAATGGATCCCTTGCAGTCCTAGAGTTCACAGGCTTGGTAATAGTGAATGTGCTGACTCGTTAGTGAGTGCCAGTACCACGGAGGAGTGATTTACTACATAGACTCCCTGTCCTGACCTAAAGAACAGTCCTGACACTTTTTGCGGCAGGGTTCTAGGCAAAAAACAACCTGCCTGGTGTCGAACTAAATGTCCAGGGTGTCAGGCAACCAGAATTTGACATACCTTTTATTGTGCAAGTGTATCCAAGAGCTCCACAAAAATAAAACATGTAGTAATGTGCTTTGTGTATGAGTCAAACCTCCATAGCCATAAAATTAACAGTAGCTGGTAGCTTGAATCTGTATATGGGGTGGGGTGTTTTATTTTTTTTTTTAAATATAGAGGGATCACAGCCTTTCCAAGCTCTGCTCTGAGACAATACAGACTTTCAGAAATGCACAGCAGTCACATTCATGGGATACCCACACCGCCAGATCCCCCACACAAATATTGCCAGTCACTACATGCACAATTACATTGCTAAACATACTACTAGACCATTATTTTAGCCTCCATTTTTCTGTAATATTGTGCACACATGCATAGATGCATAGATGCACAGATGTAGACACACTGCCAAACTGCTACAATTTCACACACAAATTGTTTTATATTTTTGTTTTCTTTATTCCCTAGTCTGCTCTAGCTTTGTGAGAGCTGGAGTGGATTCTCTCACTGGGCTCCTATAAAGAGGGGCTTTGATCTTTGTGCATTGCCTATATAGAAACAAAGAATGTGACGGCAGATAAGAACCATTTGGCCCATCTAGTCTGCCCAATTATCTAAATACTTTCATTAGTCCCTGGCCTCATCTCATAGCCAGGATAGCCTAATGCCTCTCCCATGTATGCTTAAACTCCTTCACTCTGTTAACCGCTACCACTTCAGCTGGAAGGTTCCTTGCGTGCCCTTAACTGATGCTTGCAATGTTGTGATGTCGCATACTGGCATCAATATAGGGCATACTAGGGAGCTATGCTTGCCTGTTACAAAACACCCTCTCGGACACTACTTTTCAGCAAAATAAGCTCCTGCCATTCTGCTAGGAAGGGATCTTCTGTTTCCTTTCTACATTGCCACAATGTCAAATGTTTGAAGTATTAGGAGTACTATAGCTGTGTCATGTGCTGGGGCCAAATGTTTCACTTTTCTTTTTGTAAGTTTAATTAAAATGTAGAATTTGATTATGCAGTTGTCTGTTTACAATAGTCTTAAAGGACCACTATAGGCACCCAGACCACTTCAGCTTAATGAGGTGGTCTGGGTGCCTGGTCCAGCTAGGGTTAATCCTTTTTTTTTCTATAAACATAGCAGTTTCAGAGAAACTGCTATGTTTATAAATAGGTTAATCAGCCTCTAGTGGCTCTCATTGACAGTCGCTAGAGGCGCTTCTCACTGATTTTCTGTAAGTAGACGCCAGCGTCCATAGGAAAGCATTGTGAATGCTTTCCTGAGACTGGCTGAATGCGTGCGTGGCTCTTGCTGTGCATGCGCATTCAGCCGATGAGGAGAGCTCCCTGCCCGGCGCTGGAGAAAGAGGTAAGTTTAACCCCTTCCTCCTCATTCAGCCTGGCAAAAGTGGGACCCTGAGGGTGGGGGCACCCTCAGGGCACTATAGTGCCAGGAAAACAAGTGTTTTCCTGGCACTATAGTGGTTCTTTAATTTCGGCTATGAAGAAAGGTTAACAAATTTAAACCTATTTAGTTTAGAAAAACGTCGCCTGAGAGGGGATATGATAACATTATACAAATATATTCGGGGCCAATACAAACCATTGTGTGGAAATCTATTCACAAACCGGACTTTACATAGGACACGAGGCCATGCGTTTAGACTGGAAGAAAGAAGATTTCGTCTAAGGCAAAGGAAAGGTTTTTTTACTGTAAGAACAATCAGGATGTGGAATTCTCTGCCTGAAGTGGTTTTATCAGAGTCCATACAGATGTTCAAACGGCTACTAGATGCATACTTGCAAGAACAGAATATTCAAGGATATAATCTTTCAATGTAGGGTAATAACTGCTTGATCCAAGGATAAATATGACTGCCATTCTGGGGTCAAGAAGGACTTTTTTTTCCTAGCTTGTTGCAAAATTGTGCTTCAAACTGGGTTTTTTTTTTTGCCTTTTGGATCAACAGCAAAAAACAAATGTGAGGTAGGCTGAACTTGATGGACGCAAGTCTCTTTTCAGCTATGTAACTAAGTCTCCCTTTTTATTTTAGGGTGGCGATTTTACCAATCACAATGGCACAGGTGGAAAATCTATTTATGGAAGCCGCTTTTCAGATGAAAACTTCATCTTAAAACACACTGGACCAGGTAAGATTACTTGAATTCTACATTCATAACTTTACCCAATACATTTCATTGCTTTGCTTAGAATCCCTGGCATGTTAAAGGAATACTATAGGGTCAGGAACACCAACATGTATAGTGCAACCATTATGGTGGCTTGCCCTCCCCTTCCACACCTTAGAAGCAGGAAAACTTATTTCCAGCACCGTGCGAGTCTGCTGGCCCTGCCCCTCAGTGACATCACTGGCAAGGGGACGGGGGTCAAACACCATTTTGGCCAATCAGCAACTCCTCATAGAGATGCATTGAATCAATGGATCTCTGAGGAAAATTCAGCGTCCCCATGCAGAGTGACTCTGAACGGCAGAGCTGCCTACTGTGCAGCACTGAGCCAGGAAGCCCCTCCAGTGGCCATCTGAGTGGCCACTTGGAGGTGTTCCTAGGGGCAATCTAAACACTGCCTTTTCTCTAAAAGGCAATGTTTACATGAAAATGCCTGCATATAATTAAACTAACCAGAAGAACTATATTAAGCCATAGTTGTTCTGGTGACTATAGTGTCCCTTTAAAAAAAATGCTTAGTTTAAATGTTTTGTTAGTCCCATGTTGAATGAAACCTGGTCAGAGAGAAGCATACGGGTGTACAGTATTAGTCTATAAATTGCACCTGGAGAGCTGCATGTTGCATTGGAATATCCTATGGTGAAGAAGGGGGACGTGCAAAATATCGGTTTAGTGAAAGTTTACTTGTCTTTTCTGTCCTTAGGTGTTCTCTCGATGGCCAATGCAGGACCAAATACCAATGGCTCACAGTTCTTCATCTGTACTGTGGAAACAGAATGGTTTGTATTTACCTGACTTTTAATTTTTGAAGTTCTTTATTTTTGTTGTGCACATGTAGTAACACAAGCAAGTCTTGCAACAACAAGCAAACTCATGACACAATTGATAACCAGTAGTGTGGCAATCTAGGTACGTGCACTTTTTTTTTTTTATTATTTATTTATTTTTTTTTTAGAATAGTTAATGCCAAAGTAAGATGAGCAAACAGTGAAACAGGCTGAAAAAGGTGAACTTGTTGAGAATTCAGGCTTGCTTGGTGTAGATATGTCAGGAGAGACAGTGTTGTGAGCTAAAAAAGCTGGACCGTCAATATATTTTAGTCGGAACACTAGTAATAGGACATGTCATTATACTTGCACATTGAGTATAGGAACCACAAGCCAGACAAGGATAGGTTAACAATAACTAGCTTACTTAACCAGAGATGATCCCGCTAGAGTATTTAATCAAAGACCTTTTGGATGGTCGATTAGGGTCTAATAGAGCTGATGAGAGCATCTTGTGGCTTGTAATGTGCTCAGTTGGTTCGCTAGCCCTGCAAAATGGAGTGGTGTAGTCAGGGCCGGCCTTTAGGTGCCCTGTGCAAAACATCTTTGCAGTGCCCCCCCTCCCTTGTCATCATGTATGGTGTGTGTGTATATATAAGTGTAGCGCTTGTATAGGTGATTTATTCAGTAAATATTGATTTAAAATATTTACAGGCAGACATTACAAACACACGTACAGATGGATAGTCATGTACATACAGCCAGTGTAACACAGTTGCAGGCAGGCACACACTGTTACCTCTATTCATTATGGAGGTGGAAGTAGTGCAGCTCCTGGATTCTGCTTGTTGGGGAAGCAGGTACTCCTTCCTGCTTCTCATGCAGCAAATGCCTCGTCTGGCACTTCTAGCCCCTCCCCACTCCCACCACAAATTTTTTTTTTTTTTAAATCCCGGCTGGAGAATAATGAAATCCTCCACCCTGACAGCCAGCAGTGTGTGAGCTGTTGGCCACAGGGCTCCCCATGCTCCAAGTTGCCTTGTGCGGCCGCACAGCTCACACCCCTAAGGGTTAAAGGGAAGACTAATAAAATGCAAGCAGGCCTGCTGGATCAATGTTAACTAAACAGGCTGAGCACTAGAGATCCTAGACACAGCTTGGTAAGGTGAGTAAGTAATTCGTTATACCGCAAGGGTATAGTATCCGAGCGGACTGCAGGTTTTGTCCATGCTGAACTGTAACCTCTGAAGGCACTTTAATTCGTAGCTGGTTTAGATCTGTCCTGATCAGATGCCAATCCCTATGGGGCCTAATATTGGAATTTAAACTCCTTTAAGGGTCTCTCAATATATAACTAACTAGCAACGATTCTTGTCCTGGTCTGCAGTGCCCTTTGCTTGGGGTGGCAGTTCCCAGGGAACCTGCATGAGCCTGAAGCCCCTTAGGTGGTAAGTCACTTGGCTGATGCCATGTTGCTATGTAGGGCACTGTAGAATCAGGCTGCCAATGGGCATGTGTATGCTAGAGGTATTTAGAGTGGTATTGGGGTAGTCTCAAGGGTTATAGCCTATGTCTTAATTGGTAACATTCACTGCGGTTCAAATTTGGTTTTGTAAGGAAAGAGATCAGAAAAATAACATGGAAATAACAGCAAAATATAAGTGTAGCAGAAGTTCAGCATAGGTGTCCCTCTGCTCAACCCAGGGTCGGGGGTGACCTGTTATGTAACATCTTTAAGGTAATAAAGAAACAGAACAATGTGTTGGTATCCAGGGGGAGTCCTCTGTAATAAGCTGCCCATGGATCAGGGGTATGCTGTCGTGGGGCAAAGGGGAAACTCTCCCTAGAGCGAGGGCGTTGCAGCATTGAAGTCTGTTTCTTCTGGGGGAAAGCCGAGGGTATGCAGCACATCGGTGGCCTCCTGGAGGTTGTGTATAGGGTACTGGGTGTCCCCTTGAAATAGGATTAGTGTGTGGGAGTCTCCACTGTTATTAGATAATTCTCCATTGCAGGAGCACTGTAAATGGTCTGAGAGCTCTTCCAGGCTAAAGTGCCTCCTGAGAGGTCAGTGTAAAATATGAGGCATATTCTCAAAGTGGTAGGGTGAGCTCCTTCAGGGCAGCCAGGACCGCTGTTTTGTCAGACCCGTTTCTGAAGTGGATCTCTAGGTCCATTGAGGCTGTGTGCATGGGGCTTTGGGGGCTTTGTGTATGCAGAATTGTCAATCTATCACTGTTTTGGTTTGTCTGGGTTGTAGTAGGGCCCCCATCAGACGCCTCACAAAATGTGGCTCTCTGCCTCGGGGATGTCCTCCAGGATTTCTCGCACCTTTAGGTTACTCTGACACTGGGTGTCTAACTGAACCGTGAAGTGGTGCCCTTGGATAGAATTTGGTGCTGCTCCTCCTGTACTGCCTGTTGTAGTGAAACTAGATGTTGGGCGCTCTCAGCTGAAGTGACTTTAAGAGTCGATGTGAGGCCCCACGGGTCATCGCTATGTTGGCTGAGATATTCCTCTGGAGCACTTGTTTTGTCATCAGAGACTTGTCTGGGCCCACTGTTATCTGTTGGGGCCTCTCTGGTGCAGTGGGGTACTCCTCTTCGCTCCAAATGAGATGTCGTCTGAGAAGTCTCCCAAGAGTTCCCATCTTTGGGTCAAGTTGCACTTACGCCAATCGTAAGTCCTGGGCTGGTCTTGGCTTCTTGGTTTGCATCCCATGATGACCTGGGCAGAAAGGGAGTCCTCCCAAACCCTACATAGTGTTTTTTTAAAAAAAATATAAATTATGGTGATGCCTGCTTCAGCAGTCTGGCTCCACCCCCCACCTGACTTTTAATGAGCTGTTCAGATCTAAAATATAGCTCTAATATCTACAGTGTGATTTTTAGAATGGTCTCACTCGCATGCTTGTGGTGATTAGGGAATCGCAAGACTGCAATGTCACTGACGGTCATGGTGTGTGTGTGTGTATATGTCCACTAATAGTATTTAACACCCACTTAAAAATAACTTGTGTAAAAGAATAACTGTATTTAATAGTCCAGTAGGGGGCATACGAAGGACAATTTTCCTGCTTCTGAGCATTATGCAGAACAGGCAACAATCTGTTTATTTATTGTAGATTAACGATAAATTTGTATTCAGTTAAATCTCTAAGGAATTTCCTGCTTTTAAATTTTCCATGCTGGTAAACCTAGCTGCTAAATGAGTAGGACATGGAATATAAAGTCAGAGCCATGCCTCGAAGCACACTAACCAGGAGTGAATATCTAATCTCCAGACCTAAATTTTTCATTCACAAACGGCTATTGCAGAGTGAATTTTGAGCCCTGAGTTGGACATTCAATTTTGGAATCTGATTAAAAGTTCACTCTAAGCAATATATAACCATAACAGCTTGCTGTACTCGTTTTCTATAGTGCTCTGGCACCATGCTCCGTTTAATGGAAAACTTGTATAACCTGCTGTTTACTTTGAGATAATACTTGGACATATCAACCTGAATTGGTTGAACCACTATTCTGTTACTATGTTCATGTGAATGGGATGCCCTTTACATCTGCATTGTATCAATGTGCCTTCATTCACATCTATAATAGTGTGCCTATGAAGATGTATGTGTTATTGACAGGGCCACTCTATACATACATATTTCTGTCACCAGGTGCTTTTTTTTGGGGGGGTGGGGGGTTGGAGGTTCATGGTAAATAGACTAAGTAGGCACTACACTGTCTTGTTTTATCTTGTGAGTATTTCATTAAGGTTTTCTTTTTGAAATTATTAATTTGGAGGGTTGGTAGGGTGTTATAGAGCCACTTAAATATATTTATCACCATACAATGATCAATGTATTGGAGTAGGATGCTAACTGATATTGCTCTTTATTTTTAGGTTGGACAACAAACATGTTGTGTTCGGTTACGTTAAAGATGGCCATGATATAGTCAAGAAAATGGAGAGCTATGGTAGCAAAAGTGGGCGACCATCTAAAAGAATTGTCATAGCGGACTGTGGAGAACTATCCTCTTGACCTCCTTAAATTAATAGATGTGAATTAATACTAGTTTTGTGAACGTCAAAATCACTGGAAGAGTCATAAATTTCCTACAGTCATGAAATGGGGCGTCTTATTTGTATAAATTGTTCAGGACTTTATTTAAACAATGTCTCTTGACCCTTTCATGCACCATCTGGCAGCAATTTTTTTATATTTAAATACTACAGTAGTAGTAAACCAAATCACCTGTCTTGTTTTTTTTCTCACTAAAATATTGCTCGCTGTACTGTCCCATACTGTGTTGTGAATTTTGTTTTGTTATTAGGGTCACTGCTGACATTAGTTTTAATCGGGCACATTTCAAAATACATACTTGTGTAAACTAAGTTTTTGATTTTCCTTTATGGGTTTATAATTCAGCAATTTGGTAGGAATTAAGCACTAGCACTGAGCTCTGGCAGTCAAATGAAAGTTTGACTTTTCTCACAGCAGTAGCGCTTCTAGTGATGGTCAAGACAGCATCTAGAGGCATATTTAGCTCTGCAATGTAGGCATTGCATGCAGGGTTAAAACTAAAGGACCACAGCACCCAGTCCACTTCATTAAGGTGACATGGTCTGGGTGCCTTTGATAATCCTTTTAATGTGGTGTTTTTTTTTTTTTTTTGGTAGACCCTCATCCTGGATTGCAGATATGGTTGTAATTGAATCCACTGCTATTCGGCTGCTTTTTCACTTTGAACAATCCTACTTAATGCTACACATGGAGCACATTTCTGGGATTTGTAAATTCAAAGTGTTGTAGTGGTCTTTCTGCTGTAGAATGACAATTTAAGTCATGACCTAACTTACAGCAGTAAATGCGTGAGCTATGGAGCTAAATGGACATTCCACTACATTCTTAAAAAAATCACTTTAGCTATATCCTCAAAGAAAACGTGCATTATGCTTTTTTAAATGTGTGGGTTTTTTTTTATTGGGTGCATATCCAGACATTCTGTAGCTGTCCAAATCTGACTCCAGAATGTAGCTCAATGAGAAGTGTTTGCAAGACTGGTGCTTTGTGCAATTGTTGCCTCTTGACTTTAGTGCCACTGAGCTAACCAAACCAGGAAGGTTAACAGGACTTGTAGCCTGCTAGTAGGGTTCACTTATTAAATTGCACTTTAAAAAAATAAAAAAAAAATAAAAAATTGCAAAATGAAAGGACATGCTCTTCACAAATAAAGCACTTCAGAAAACTATAGTACTTTAGGGGTCGGGAGTATCCCCTTAGTCTAACATTATTTTAGCTAGAAGATGTATTCAAGTTTCCCTATTCAGAGCTGCACATAAAAGGAGTTAGCCAGTGCAGGTTAGAGCCATGTGGGACATATTCTAAGCAGGTGTTCCCAGGTTTGTTTGATTAACCTACCTCTAGCTGGAACTCATTTTTTTTTTTTTTTTACACCCCTTACTAATTTAATGAGTGTTAATATTGACAGTTGCATACATGTTGAAATTGTATATAGGGGTTCCTCAAGTTGTAAGAAAATGTGAAACAATCTCTGGGACTAGGAATAACTGGACCTGTAAGCTTACACTCTGCATCAAAAATGTTTGAGCTCTTAAATATGGAATGTGAAATTCCCCTGCATATGCATACTTGGTTTATGGTTTTTGCACCAGATTAGATTTTTCTTGTTGAGAGCCTTGGGTTTGCTCTTGCCAATCACGTGTCAAAGTGGATTATGGCAGACTGTCGAACAATTGGGATCCAAGGAAGAAAATGTGTTGAGGAGATGAAGATTTAGTCTGTTAGACTAGATTACAAGCTCCACAGCACATGGAGGAATTTTAGCAGAGCTTGATATGTTTGAGAGTTAAACATGAAAAGATTGACTTATGCCATAACCATGAAGGCTGTCCTTGAAATATTAAGGAACTACTTAAACTACTGTGAAAAGATGACTTCCCTGGAAGTGCATTCTAGAGTCTCTATTGGATTTAGCATATTCTGCCAGATCAAATTTTAGTCTAGGATAGGTACAGTGAATTAAGTTTCAATTACTATTTTTCCATATACGCTGTTCAAAAGTTTTAACATTGTATTAACCTGGCTGACCAATTGGATGTCTGCTACTGATAACTTAAAAGTGAAAAAAAAATGTCTAATTTGCTAGAAACGTCTGATTCTTTTGTGGGTAGGCAAATAAAAATTACATATTTTTAAAACTTTGTCTGTTGGCAATTATTTGTTTCTTGGTTTATGGAAGGATATTAAGATTGTTTTGACAGAGGGCCTGTGTATTGACAAGTACATTTCTTTCATGCTTCTGTTTACAGTACATAAGTTGGTGTGGGTCTTTACCCCCTCTCCATAGACATAAGGGATACTATAGTCAACAGAACATCTACAGCTAGACCTTAAAGTTTTATTTCAAACTTTTCGCTGCTAATACACTGATGGCTAGAGAATAAAAATCTACAAAAAACCCACTTGGGGAGCACTATTAAGCCAAATCATGACAAATTGGGACTGAGGATATGGCATATACACAGATTAGGCCAGGACACATCACTAAACAAGGGAAAGTTGGGGGGGGGGGGCAGAGGAATGGGGAGACCGGTGAAACACAAAATAAAAAGTGGTGATCAAAAACACTATTACAAAGTACAAACTTCAGCTCCTCCTGCGAGCGATCACAAAGACTGACTTGACATGGGGGATTGAGATCCATTTGTATATCTAATTTCCAAGACAGCTGCTCTCTTCCGGAGTACCCATTCATCTATTCCCAAACTGAAACTACTCTCCAAACCTAATGGGCCTAATGTATGACCTTAAACCATGTGTACATAATTTGATCTATGCTATTTTTCTGTTTCTCCTCAGACTACTCTGCACTCCTACCTTTCCTGTTTGTGTTATTACTTTTATCTCTAACTTTAATGTACCTCTAATCTCACAATGGAGGCTCCACTTGACACCTGTGGAATGAACAGTGCAATTGACTGGATGTAGTTTTGTCTTGAAACAGGGCCTCTAAACACGCTTTCCACTTCAGCACCACACCTGGACATGTCCACTTTATTATTTTTGATATTCAGTCAGATGTGGCTGATACCTGATGACTCTTTTTCAGGCAATGTGATTTGCCTCCTGAAACGTGTTGCAAAAGTAAATTAATGTCTACAGTATGTACAACCTTTAGTGCCAACAGCTTTACTATGTGTATATGTATACCAGGAATAACATGTCACGTGTTGCTTATTGAATTGTGAGCTGCCTGTTGTGAAAAACCACCCTCTGTACTTTCAATTGTTTCAATTTGACTTTACGTCTTAGCTTGATAAAAGAAAATAAATCTACAACTTAATGCAGTGATTCTGATGCCTATAGCATGTCACTCATCTCCTGCCAATGTCAGTCAGTGGGGAAGACCTAATGTGCATGCATGGCAATAGCTGCACTCTCATTAGTACTTCAGTCATACGAAAACCTTGTATAAAGCTTTCCTGTGGGGTTTTGGGTGACGCTGGATGTCCTCATGTGAACTTTTGGTCACCCGATGCTGAACATCCTAATGACCTTAAAGTTCCTCTAGTGGCTGTCTGGTAGACTGCCACTAGTGATAGGGTTAACACATAACCTTTGCAGGGTTAAGGGAGCTGGAATATGCACCTAGAACTCCTTGACATGAACATATTTAGGTACTCATCTCAGATGCATATTTTGCAGTCTATTTTGATATTCATTGCTAGACCTCTTCAAAGCGAGGGCACTGCAGAGCATATACTGATCAGCCTTTGTTAATCCCACCTGCCTAATACATAGGTCTCCCCCCTGCCACCAAAACAGATCTGATGCATGGACTCACATTGTGAACGTGTCCTGTGGTACGACATGAGCAGATAATTTAATTTAAGAGGTGGGGCCTCCATGGATCAGATTTGTTCTAGCACATCTTATAGATTATATTGAGATTTGGGGGATGTAGAGGCCAAGCAAATACCTTGAACGGTTTTTCTTGTTCCTCAAATATTCTGGAATTTTTTTTTTTTGCAGGGTGCACTATCCTTCTGAAAGAGGCCACTGCCATAAGGAACATAATTTCCCAGGAGGGATGTACGTGGTCTGTAGCAATGTCTGGGTAGGTGGTATGGATCAAAGTAACACGAAGGCCGGGACCAAAGGTTTCCCAGTATAACACTGCCATTTATTTTTAAAAACCACACTACATCCTGCTGACATCTCTTCTCCAGGTAAACATTACACACACCCAGCCATCCAACTGATCTAAAATGAAGTGATTCATCAGACTAGGGCACCTTCCATTGCTCCATACCCATTTAAGGTGCTTTCAGTTGTGGACAGGGGTCATCATGGGTATTCTGACTGGTCTGAGATCACGCAACTCTATACACCGCAAACTGTGATGTAATGTGCATTCTGACACCTTTCTATCATGGTCTGCATTAAACATTTCAGCAATCTGAGCTGCAGTAGCTCTTCTGTGTGAAGAAGACTAGACGAGCTAGCCTTCTCTCCTCAAGTGTATCGATTAGCCTTGGGCATCCGTGACCCAAATGCTGGTTCAGCGTCTATCTTTCCTTGCACCATTTTCAGTAGGTACTAACCACTGCATAGCGGAAACTTCACACAGGACCTGCCGTTTTGGATATGCTCCGACCCAGTTGTCTAGCCATCACTACTTCACCATTGTCTGCAGATCTTTTCGCTTGCCCACTTTTCCTGCTTCCAACACATGAAATTCAAGAACTGACTATTCACTTGTTGCCTAATATATCCCACCCCTTGGCAGGTGCCATTGTAACAATATAATCAATGTTATTCACTACACCTGTCAGTGGTTTTAATGTTGTGACTAATCCGTGTGTATAGTACTCCATAAGCTGCTCATGAAACACCATGCTGATTTCCTGCATTGTGACCAGAATATTTGCCTTAGTTGATGGAGCCACAGTTTTTAAGTCACTGTACTGCGTGAACTCCCCACTGGCAGGTAAGAAATCTGCTAATTTGAGGTCACTTCTATCTGCGGAGGGATGTCTGAAGTGGGTTTGCACTTCAGTAATTGTTAGCTGACAAAACTACTAGGTTTTGGAGCAATTCAGGAGCAAAGAAAAAAAAACCATCTCAAATAGTTAAAATGAAATGGGGATAGTAGGGGCCACTGTAGTCCCTTCTATTTGCTTGTACTATGGGCAGTGGTATGAGGGTTCATTATATAACTGGTGTGCATCAGAGACTGCCCACTAACTTCTGTAGTCCTTGGACTACGGGATGGGAGAAATTCGAAAATTCATTTGCAGATTTTTATTTTATTTTTTTTTTATTTAAAATTGGTTTATATTGTGTGTCAGAATTGGGAATCAACAATTTGTCCTCAAACAAAAGCTTGTTCAATATACCAGTCAGATTGTCTTTTGTCTAACTGGAACATTTATTGAACCACGAACAAGTGAAGTTCCAAATTTTAGCCACTAGGTAGAGAACTGTTCCAAATAAGTTTTCACATCATTACATGTTTACAGAGAGAAGTGCACACAGCCAGTTTCACATTGTGCCGAACAGAGGAGATATAAACATGTCAGAACATGAACTTACAGTGACTTCCACCGATACATAATTTTTAAAGTCATATGTTTTATTTATTTTGGCTTTATATTCTGCAGAAACGGTAAAATTATCATTTATTTCCTTTAGAAACATTTCTTAGTATTGCTGCCACGGATAATAACTAGACTTCCATATTTGTAGTTTGCAGAACGTGACAGCTGAATAAATAAACCAAAGTGTTAAAGAAGGGTGCAAGGAATCCTTAACAGTCTATTATCATCTGGATTTGTAGATGTGGTCAGTAATTGGCTAATTAAAGGGAATGTGTCACCTAAATAATGTTTTGGACAGGTGAGGAGAGCACACACAGCTGTAGACACTGTGCCGTGAGAATTGTAAATATTTAAACAATTGTGTAATTGAGTAAATTTTTTCCCCTTTATTTAGTCAAAGCTACACACCCCGTAAACAAATGAAAAAATAAAATAAAATTATAGACATGTAATGGCACTCACCCTTACTGATACTATAGGTAGTTTGTTGAAATGACGTGGTGCAATCTCATGCTGAAATTATATATATTATGTATAATTTTTTATATATATATATATATATATATATATATATATCTTTTATTTAAATAGCACAAATGTGTACGCAGCCATTGCATTAGGAAGGAGGTACAATAAATGCGCTCGTGTACAAATGAACAGATATCATATGACGCTCATATGAGACCCCGCTCAGTTATAGAACTCTTAATAGCCTTTATGTGTTGAATGGTAAGCTCCTATGAACAGGACATTCTTCACCCCGCCTGTCAATTATTTATTGGTAAATATACCCACTGTGCAATTTTAAAGTTTTTCTGAAAATGTTAATTTCTATAGTTACCCTTTAGAAATCTTTCATTGGACCTAAAACATCAAATCCAGTCATCTATGTATTTACTTGCAATTATTATAGGGAAATACATAAGTAGTTTATAAATGTTAAAAAAATACAACAAAAAAGATGCACTTTTTAACAATATGGATAGAAGGGGGTGTAAGAAGTGAGTCCCAGTGCTAAGAGTGCTTCTGCGTGCCATGTAATGTCATTTATAACTGGTCTATTGAGGGATCATGAGGTCTAAAGACACACAGGCTTCTATTTCTAAGGCCTATGTTAATGGGTTTAATTACCCCCTGTAGTTTTATGATCTAGTGTGCTGCAAGATTATTCACCTTTATCTGTCTGCAGATTTAACTATAAGGGGGAAATTTAACTATAAGAAAGGTATGTAATCCTTTGGTCTCCAGTATATTTAAAGGTGCACGCCAAGCAGAATTTCCAGTTTATGCCCTTTCCATAATTTATAATATAACCTGTAATAGGGAAATTTAAATATTCCCCAGACTTGGAGATTTTGTAGGGAAGGTGGATTCATGCCATGCTTTTCCTAAATGACTTCTAAAGACCCTGAATCCTCCCCCAGGAGAGACCAAAAGCATGGACAGTGGCTCTGCTGAGAACTCCAGGCACAGATACAACTTTAATGCGTTTTAATTTTTGGCTTTGAGATTTTGGCTTCCTTAATATGGTTTGTTGTTTGCACTTTTAAATCTTGAAAAGGAAGTCTTTCTGACATGCGGGGGAGTGTGGCAAAGGA